AATATAACAAACAAATATATTTTTTCAAATTTAATTTCATCATAAAAAATATTATTCTTAATTTTTTAAAAAAACATTAATGTAATAAAAGCATATGAAATAATTGAAAAATATAAATTATTTTTATAATTGAGAAAACAAGGAGAAATGAATTCTAATGTGGCTAAATTACATTATACCCCCCTAATATATATTTACTTTGCGACAAACCCCCCTAATCAAACCCTTAAAATGAAACATACCCTAAGCAATCAAAGAATAGGAAGAACATGCCCTTGGTAACTTCTTGAATTTAAGTAAATCTCTCTATGGTTGATATGGAGATACTTCAATTATTCATTAATACATGCCACCAACTCTTAGTGCCAGGATTGTGGGACTGGCTTCCAAGTAGGTCTTCTTTTTAATTTCTTAATATATTTTTCTTTAAGAAATCTTTTCTTCTTGTTTTTTTTCCTGTTTTTCTAATTTTCTTTTTGGTTTTACATGATTTCAAGCCGGCTCTGTTGATGGTGTATGAGGAGAAGTTTTATTCCCACATATCTATCTTTGCATATGTTGTAGTTTGATGGAGCCCATTCTTTTCTACTAAATTTTCAACTGTTTAATTTAAGGCATAAATCAGAAAGGATTTCATCTAAGATATTTTCAGATTTGTTGTAAAAGATTAGTTATGAAAAAAAACTATGACAAGGTGATTTAAAATGTCTTGATCTAACATTTTTTTTAGATTTGCTGTAAAATATTATATATGAAAAAAACCTATGACAAGGTAATTAAAATGTCTTTCTTCATGTTATATAGCTAATGAGGCTTGGTTAGAATTGGTGCAGTTGGATTAAAGGTTGTATTTCTAATACATGCTTCTCGATTCTAATCAAGGAGAAGCCCATTGGCTTATTTTAAGCAAGCAACTGAATTAGACAAGGGGATCCACTTTCTATTTATTATGTAGCTGACTGAAGAATTTGGTTTGATGTTAAGTAATGTATAAGTGGTGGTCTTCTTAAAGGTTTCTTGGTTTCAAGCGCCATTACCGAGATACTTCATATATCATATTATCTCACATATCAACAATGTCTCGACACTTAGACACCTGTTTATAATGGTATGACTTCTTCTCAATATTGTTGGGTCACCTTATTGCTTTTTAGTACTTTGAAAAGTTTATATAGAGCCTAGGCTCTAAACAATCAAATTAGAGCCTACCTCAAAATTTTCCCTAGATGAGGTTGTTTTGATACCCAAATAACATCGAATTGATCATCTTGACATCAAGATGCACGGACATGAGAAAAAAATGGATATGAAGTTTTGGAAATAGTGCATCTTGTATTGCATTTTTTTACCGTCAATTTTTAAGATTTTCAACTTTTCATAGATCTACTCAATCTACACTATTTTTTAAGTTTTAAATTTTATAATTAAAGATGCAAATATATTATAAGGCTATTACAAAAATTTATAATATTAAAACCATATTTCTTGATACTATTTGAAGGTGGGCTCAAATTTGATTGTTTAGAGCCTCGGCTCTATACAAACCGCACGCTTTTAGTACATATAGATACTTCATATAGAAGTGTTCCTATCTTTTTCTGTGTTAACAAGCCCATACCTACAGGGTAGATTGGGTATTTTTGACCTAATAGATCTTGAGATCAATTCTTGTTGAGGCATTTTTCTTATGAAACTAAATCTCTTTTGAACTTTGTTGGACTGGATTTTAAAAAATGGTTTATGAGATATAAGTATGGCCCTTCACAAAATCTCTTTTGAACTTTGTAGGACTGCATTTTAAAAAATGATTAATGAGATATAAGTATGGCCCTTCACAAGATGGGAATTCAATTAGGGTTGCCTTAAAAAATTGTATTAGAGGGCTCCTTCGGTAGGAATTAAACTTAAGACGCAGCGTTGCACATCATCAAGCACTAACCAATTAAACCTGGGATTTTTTCATGTGTCAAGTTTGTGAAAGGCTTTTAGGTTTCGAGAAAGTTGAATACAGAGTGCTTGATTCGCTCATCAGCTGAATCTTTATGAGAGAAAAGGGCAGTGGTTATCTGATTGTTGACTTCATGAATGATATGAGAGAATTGCCAATCGGCTAAGAAGAATGAGGGTGATGGGTATTTCGAAGCTTCTTTCTATTAGGATGATAAAGCTTAATTTTGATGGTAGTTTTTTGGTTAATTTGAACCCTTCAAGCTTAGAGTTTTTTAATCGTAGTTTTTTGGTTAATTTGAGCCCTTCACGTATGGGTGAATTTATTAAGAATAGTTATGGGCATTTCATTGTTTCTTACTTCGGTCCTTGTGGTGTGGGTACTAGTTCTTACTTTGGTCCTTGTGGTGTGGTACAACTAGTAAAGCTAGATTAAAAGCTCTTTTCTAGGGGTTGAAAATTATTTTGAGAGATAATTTGGATTAAGAGGTGATTGTCGGAGGGCATTTTACTTAATATGATTAAATGGTGCAAGGGAGAACAAAGAGTTCCTTGGAATTTAATAGAAGTGATGGAAATTTGTTGTATTCATTAAAGAAAATGTCGACCTATTTAAACTATTTCCTTTTTTTAAATGCCACAATCTTAAGAAAAACTATGTATGATTTCATGGTCGAAAAATATAAGCAAAGCATTATGTTATTTGGCGGGACAAAAACAAGCAAAAGCACTTTTATATTTGATAATTTAAATGATAAGCTTGGGGAACTGGGCCTATCCTTTAATGAGAATGGAGTCAAAAGATCTCACTATGGAGCTCGGCAATACTACGACCAAAGCCACATGCCATTCTCAAATAATGTGATGCGAACGATGATCCTTTGGTGAAACACTTCAACATCAATTAAATAAAATTAGAAAACCAAACATAGAACACCACAACTTGATATTTCCTCATCCATCCAAATAAGTAAATGTTCGTAACAAAGAGTAAACGCAAATATTAACTAATGATATATTTTGGGAAAGTATACCACGATCTATGCTGCATGGTAGCATGCAAAAAATATGCATGGTAACTACAACCATTTATTGGCAACAACAGAAGATTGGGACGAACTAAGACCCTCGATTCCTTTTTGAAGGGGAGGAGATTTCATCCCAGCCATCATTTGTGGACAACTTTCGAGGTTGCATGGAGCATAAATCTTATTTGTATGCTACATGTATCATAGTATACAATCCCATATATTCTCCATAGACCTCTCTCTGAATGTAGAAGCAACACCTCCACATTTACTCGAACTTGAAGAGTTTGTAAGACCTGAGAGAGGTAATCAAGCCCTGAACCGAGCCGACTGCGGCTGCTATAGAGACAAACAGGCAAAGTAGGCTCAGCAGGCGCAGCCACCACCACTCGCTGGAGCCTTTATTTAAATTCCTTTTGCGAATATACATCTCGGTTGGGAAGTAGACTGCAAGTGGCCAGAATGACATAGACCCTGCTAACCCCACCACGTCGTTAAAGAAGGGGAATATCATGGTGATGATGGTCATAATTATCACAGTCAATGACCTCGCAACCAAGCGGAGCATGTTAAATTGGAAGGGAAAACCAAGAATTTTGGTTCTCAACTCGTTGTTCACGAAGCTACTGGATGGCCACCGCCTCGAGCAACCCCTCTCCAAGTATGCAAACATCGGTTGTCCAAAGACCTGTGGATACAAAGAAGTTATAAATTAATGCCACAAATTGAATTTGTGCACTAGATTCATTATCTTTTATGATGTACTCCGGAAATTCCAAGATTGAATCGTTTTTACGTTAGTATTGCTCCAAACATTGATAAATTCAAAGTAACTATATTTAGCCCAGCCAGCCCCGAACTGGCCAAGACAATGCCAGCGCCTCTTCATGTGGTTCAGTGCCGGTCCAGACTAAGGCCGGGCTATGAGCAAAGTTGCTCCTGCCCAGGCCCGGCCGGCTTGTTGCCAAGTGTATACGGGCTCCACCCATTGTTCCGATTTGACAATGATCAAAAGGGCACTCGAGGATTGGATTGTTGAAGATGATGCAAAATAATAGAAATATATAGGCACTTTGTTAAAGATGATGAAAAAAGTGAATGTAATGAGTAGTTATATAGGAAGTGAGCAGTTGTGTTGTACTCGCCTATATATTTGGGCCCCTTGAATTGAAATGGGTGTGTGTGGAAAAATGTAGTGTATGTATGGAAAAAGTTGAGTAAATTTGAGTTTTGTGTCTCTCTCTCCAAAAAAGAGTGTTTGTGTTTATCTCTCATGAATACGTGACCTTTTAAAAATATCAACAGTGGTATCAGAGCATTATCCAAAAACTTACAACATGACATCAAGGCCTTACCTATAAAATTTCAACAAGGATCATTGCCCTGCACTTGAAAAGGAAAGTCTATTTCAATATACAGTATACTATTAATATACAGTATACTATTGTACAGGAGAGCTTGTATACAACCAGTGTTTAAAAAATTGGCTTTGGACGGTCCGCTTTTGCCAATTCATGCTAGAAATGATGGGGGACCTGTTCAAGTCCCCTACAGAATTAGGACTTGGATCAATACCCACAAAAACTTATATTTTTTTAAGCACTATATGACATAAAACATTGCCTTTAGGGTGTTTTTGAGTTCGCTAAATATTGTTCAAAATTTGTAAACAATTAGCATTTAAATTTTACAGTTTTTTCTTAAATTTTTTTAAAAATGGGCCTAGCGACCGAGCGAACTCTCCAGATTAACCAATCTGACTCAGATTTAAACTGACATACAGTACGCTGAAAAAGGAGGTCCACGTAGATTGTGGATAAGGTTGTTCCAGCTCACACTTATGTGGCCGTCCAAACAAAATGGAAGCTTTTAACAAATAAAAATGTATGTTATGAGACCATTTATCTTTGTTACAACGAGACCACAATTCCTCCTGGCCATTAGATATCAAATTGGATGATTCGAGGTGTGTCACAGATTTTGAGATTTTTTTTTTTTAATTTTGAGTCTAATCAATGATACTCTTACAACTACCTTATTTAAAATCCGATGGACAAGAATGATTGCGACTTTGAACTCCCTGTTTTATTGTAGACTTATCCTTAACAATATAATATGCTTTTGCACTGTTCCTCTTTACAAGGAGTCCAGAGCATACATACTGTTTTAGCCAGAAGAACATGACACATGATGGGTGGGGTGATGTGTTTTGACCTACGTGGGCCCAGTTTTTATGTTTTGGCTGCGGGCCCAAGTCCATTTGCCATGTCAGTAAATTGTATTTCGTTTACTCATATTATCTATAAAGAAAGTTTTCACTGGGACCATTTACTTTTGAGTTTACCATGTTCCCTTACATAATGTTTTTTTATCCAAAATTTTGGAAACTATCTAAAAATTATTTGAATGATTAAAGGAAAAAATTTGAATTTTGAATTCTAAAACTTAGATCTTACCATTTGAAAATTTTCCTGGGACTTTCAGGCAATGAATGTAACCTAGCTCTGATTTCAAATCTCACATCATAGGTCTCGTGAAATTTTGGAAAATTTATCAAACTATTGACAAATGGTGAAGGGTTTAACACTTTAGCCATATCTTTTGATTTAATTTCAAAATACCTATAAAAAATACATGTTCTTCAGTTAGAGTAATTGTTATTGGATAAAATGTTAAATACTTCATCTCTTATGTGTATTTTTTGAGTTTTTGTACCACAGTAAATGGTCTCGTGGTACGCCGTCCCTTGTTTGTTACTCATATATAGAAAAAGTAAGTGAATATTTGATACTTGCAAGTATCTAAGTATTATTCGTTCCCTAAACAAGTATTATTAGTCCCCTAAAAATTTGAAAAAGCTAAAAGAAAATAGGGATGCACTATTTAACATTCTATCCATTAATTTTGATTTAATTTCAAAATACCTATCAGAAGACAAATGGATAAAATGTAGCTAGTTCATCTCTTATGAATATTTTGATAAATTTTGTAGAAAATAATAATGTGGAGCAGGGGAGGAGAGAATTACCTGATATGATCCAAAGAGATGAATGGCAATGCAAACGTTGGCTAAATCAATCAACCAAAAGGGTTCATAGAATCCGAATCCGGTGAGGAAATTTCCGGGAGCCTTATTGCCAAAAGCTGCATAGCCTATAAAACCACAGAGCATGTAGTACATGGTGGTCACCAAAATTCCCAAAAAGCTCGCCTTCTTCATCACTTTGTTCTCAGGTGGGGAGCTTTTCAATGTGTTCTTCAAACAAAAACATAGTAAATTTTAGAATCCACAAGTTCAAGAGTTTCTCCCACTAAAACTCAAAGGAAATGTTGTTTTTTTTCCATTATAAAAAAAAAAGTGTTTCTTTGTTTTTTTTTTTTCTATGGAGAGGCTGATATAATCCATGGACTATATTAAAAGTGCAGTATGAGGGGTCATCACAAGGGGGTGGCAACGGGTCAGGTTTGACTGGATTTGGACCCAAACCCGAATGGTATTCGGGTTTAAGTCTTAGACCCAGATCCAACCCATCAGGTTCAAAAGTTGGACCCATACCTATGCGTGTTGGGTCTGGTCAGGTCCATTGCCATCCTTACTATGACTTTTGCTTTTCTTTTGACCCTTTTTTTACTATCATATACCCATATTATTGGCAACAAGAAGACAATCACCCGCCAACAGATAGGGATTGAAGTATTTTATCTCCAAAAGTTTACTGATACGGGTTGGGTCCAACCGAACCCAGACTCGGTCCAGGTTTTGGACCCAGACCCAACCCGTTGGGTTCAAATGTTGGACCCAGACCCAAACGTATGTCGGGTACACCCGACGGGTCCCGGGTTAGGTCTGGGTCAATTGCCACCGTTAGTCATCACCGCCCAATCCAATGGATTGACTCACCATCCAATGGACTGACTCACCATTCAGGTCATCTCATGTTTTGAGGGTCCCACTCTCTCTCCACAGTCCACACCACTTAATTACAGAGTGACAACCTGACCGGTATTAGTTTTTCCATAGTCCACAGGATCATACATGACCCAAACGATTATGAACTTCCGGGTTTTTTTGGACATGGCAAATTACCAAATTTACCCCTTGATCTATAAGATCGGTAATTTTACCACAAGGTACTACCCACTCAATTTTTATTTTTTTATTTTTTTTCAAGTTTACCCCGCATTTCATATTTGATGTATATTCTTTATTTTTTTTCACTTTTGTACTTTTTTTTTTTTTTAATATGTTTTAGCGAATATTAGACCACTTTTTAAGTAAAACTTTAGTGAAGTCTAATGATTGTATCACCCGCCGTATGGAAAAAAATTAAATATAGTGCGGCCTGTTTTTCCATTATCAAACCACTTTCCATCGAGGGGAAAACTTTGGGGGGGGGGGGATGGGCCAAGCCAAACAAAAACAAATGAATATAAAATAGAAATAAAAAAGAGGAAAAAATAGGGGCAGGGTGGGTCGGAGCAAGCCAGGCTAGGCTAGCACTGGACCTAGCCCGGTCCGGCCCTCAGGTCAAGAGAAGTAGAGTAAAAATATAACATGTGTGTTGCATGTGGTATGCCAGCAGCTCTCAAGGCATAATATCAACAACCTCAAACACATGTTTGAGGTAAAGGGACTCCTTTTTATTGTTGGTTGAAGAGATATGGGAAGATTCTTTAAACAAATTTCCTTCTTTAAATCCCATAAAAAGTAGTAGAATATATTTCTACTTAGAGATAGATGGAGGTGCCATACTCTACTCTCAATGACTCAATAATAAGGTGTGGTCCTTGTTGGTCCATGGGAATCCCAACAAGACAAAGAGGGTGGGTGGGTGGGTGGGTGGGTGCGTCAGTTGTATATCATAATTTCTCACCACCCATGGGGAATCAAAAGAGAGGACGAAAATGATACAAAGTACATATGGAAAAAGTTTGGAATAAAAGAGACTCATGACCTTTTTTTTTGTTGTTTTGAAGGAATAAAAGGGAGGGAGTTATGGCCTCTTTGTTCCTGTATTTTTTTTGTTTTTTGTTTTTTTTGGGACCAGTTTTTATGCGGCCAAGCCCACTTATGTAGAAATGTGGGGCCTCTTGATAAATCTACTTTTGAAATGGATTTTTACCACGTATGTAGAAATGTGAGACCTCCTAATAAATCTATTTTTGAAATGGATTTTTAAAGACATCTAATCTTTAACATGGAGATCATGAATATGAAAAAATAAATATATTTAAAAAATAAGAAACAATAATTCTACTAAGAAAATATTTGGACAGTTTGTGTTTAGATGGAAACCTACTTGCATCCATCTTATCTTTAGTATGGATGCTTTACGCTTCGTGGACCGCATATGTAGAAATGCGGTCCAGTCAATATGAGAACTTTTTTTTTTTTTTCCTTCATTTATTTTTGGGGCGACAACCGCTTGGGCCTGGGCGAATGGGTCAAGGGCCGGGCTTGGGCCACGGCTGACTGGAAGAAGCTCTTAAAGATAAATAAATGCATCTTTACGTCGGTCGGCTTGGCAGGAAAAAGAAAGGTACAAGTGCCTTGGTTTTTTGAAACACCTGACACCCTCTATCTTTTAATCACAATAAAGAACCGAGTTTCAAAATCCGTCAAGACTAATTGCAAAAACATTTTACTGCGCCAGCCAATGGCTACAGAGAGAGAGAGTCCCGATCCGTGTGCAAGTACTCACCCAGCCTGTGTACCTCTTTAATCCAACAAGCTACAAATAACCCAAACCATGTGGGAACTGCCAACCAGCAGGGCCAAGCCCTGGCAGTTGGCGCCGAGCTCACGGTCCTAAAAAATTGGGACTTTTGCCATGGACTGACTCAGGGCTGGTTCAGGTCCTTGCCCAATTGAGAGCCGGCCCGGCCCGGCCCGGCCAGTCTGGTCTCCTTTCTTTTTTAAGAAAAAGTTTATATAGAGCCTGAAGCTCTAAATAATCAAAGCCCACCTCAAGAATTTTACTGACTCATTTTCGCAACTGACCTAAAGCTTGTTTTAGTCATCTGGACCTCACATGAGCGTCAATTTTCAAGGTTTTTAAATTTTCATAGATATGCTCGACCTACATTATTTTTTACAGTATTAAAACCATATTATTTTTTACAGTATTAAAACCATATTTCGGCACATTTCTTCATTTGTTTTTGGCCTGAGCCCGAACTCTAACTTTTGGTCCAGTCCCAAAGCCCACAAACGAGAGAGAGCGAGTACCTGAATTTCAATAAGGATTGAGGTGAAAGCATAAGCGAAGGCAACGTCTCCGAGGGCCTGGCAAACCTTCCAAATCTTCTCAGTCGATGTCACGTCCACGCCAACTGCCACTCCCGTAAGAGACGTGTTATGCGAAGCTCCTTTGCCTGCATAAATTTACAGGCTTCAGTCTCTTTCTCTTCTGATAATAATACCTTGTAAATACTCATCTCTCTCTCTCTCTCTCTCTGTTGTTTCATCTTTTCTTTCTGTATTTCTTTTCCATGGATTTTTAAAGGAAAGGATACATACTTGAGACTCTGGCGATGGAGAGCCCCACGCCTATGGTGGAGTAAGTGAAAGACATAACCGCAGCGATTACAGAGAGCCATGAAAGCTTGTGAAGATTCGGAATTTGAGAGAGAAACAATTGAATGCAGCCGAAGATTATGAGGAACCTGTTGGTTTTCGGTGGGCAGTGTGCGTCGTGGCCATGCTTGTGAAAACAATTCGATCTCTCTATGGCCCTGGTTAAAGAAAAAATTAATAGACAAACAAAAACAAAGCACCCAGTTCAGAACATAACGCAAACTTAAAAAAAAAAAAAAACAAACATATTGAAGAGAGTGAGAACCCAATTCATGATTTGAGTATAAGAAGAAGAGCTCAAGCATTTCGGAAAAGCTTACGCCATGCTGATTGCTGCAGTGAGAGTGTAACCCAGGCAGGTTGCGAAAAGGTATATATATTGTGCAATCCCACACAATTTGGTTCTTCTTTCATCTGTCATAGAGAGAGATTTTCAATTTTTGTATCAGCATAAAGAGTACTCTTCTATTAGAGAGAGAGAGAGAGAGAGAGAGAGAGAGAGAGAGAGAGAGAGATTATCCTTGTTCTTCCTTCTAGCTAATGGAGGAAAAAGAACCAAAAGAGAGATATTCTCAGTAAGACTAAGAAATACCCCCAATTTCTCTTTTACACACACAGGAAAGGAGAGAGAGAGAGAGAGAGAGAGAGAGAGAGAGAGAGAGAGAGATGGATACCTAAATTGGCTTTTACGGCGTCTGTATAGGTATAGTTCCTCTTTCCATGGACTGGGTCAGGGGATCTATAACAGTCCGCCAGTAAACAAGATGTATAGTATGTGATTCCGGAAAACAAAAGCAGAACAAACGCCCCTGCGATCCACCCCAACTGAGCCATCCCCCATGCAAGGGAAAGCACCCCTGACCCTATAACCGCTGTTATGATATGAGCACTTGCCGTCCAGAACGTCCCTGCACAAACCCCATAAGCCCCAAACTTTTTAGAGAGACATTTAAAGAGAAAATCTTAGGATGTAACATACAAAGTGATACAGTTTCTCATTTCTAGAGAGAAACCAGGATTTACCGGTTCTTTTTTCGACGCCATCGTCGTCAAACCCAATAGAAGCTTTCCCTATCTCGAGGCTCCTCCTTTCTGCGGTGCCCTGAAACGCAATTCCATTATCGTGCTCATGCATCTTTACTCCTCTCTTTCTCTCTCTAGAATCGGAAGAGAAGAGTTGAACAAGAAAACCTTAATAAGAGCAAGTTATTCTGCTGTTTCAACAGCAGATAAAACGGATAAATAGGCAGAAAACAACTATCCGCACACTGTTTCTCTCTCTAAAACAAGAATCAGATGGCCTGGTAAAAGGGAAGCATGGGCTTTATATAGAAAACCCTTTAACATATCCTTGCTTTTAGGAGATATCATTATCCTTTTTTTTTATCGGGTCTGTTGATTGATTATTAAAGGAAATATTTACCGAGCAGAAATTACCAAATCCCCCGTAATCTTTTAATGTGCAAAATTATAAAAAATTGTCCTATAACGATAATGGGAAACCCTTCCTCACCCTTTTATGTAGGACTTTAAAAGATCAAACCTTAAATTTAACACATATCTTTAAAAGTATCGTATCCATGTTATAAGGCTTTTAGATATCAATCTTAAATTTAATTGTAATCATTTGAAATCCTACATACATTAGTGTGGGAGGGTCTTATAAGATCATTACTCCAAGATAATATATATTTAATAAGGGTATTGCATACAATGAGATTATTTACCTTTGATACAAGGTGGTCGCAATTATTTACCACCATTTGATGTGAAGTTTGATAACTTGGATATTTCGAAAAAAATTTATTTGAAGTTTGAGCTTGGTAATGGAATTATTGCAGTCATCCAATTTCACATCAGATAGTGAAGATTAATGTCTCACGTTGTACAAAAGATAAATGGTCTCATTCTATATTTTCGCTTTAATACGTGTACAATAATAATATGCGACATATTAACGGCTTTCCGAAGGTATCTTTTTTACTCTACCTTGGCAGATCAATTTCTTCATAATACAAGACATCAATGGGAAACCCTTCCACACCCATATATGTAGGACCTTAAAATATCAATATTAAATTTGGCACATATCTTTAAAAATCTCATATCCATATTATAACGTTTTTAAAGATCAATGCTAAATTGAATGGTGATCCTTTAAAATCCTACACACATTGGTGTGGGAGGGTCTTATAAGATCATTACTCTAAGATAATACATATTTAATAAGGGGATTGCATACAATGAGACTATTTACCTTCGATACAAAGTGGTCGTAATTATTTACCACCATTTGATGTGAAGTTTGATAACTTGGAAGTGTTACAAAATTCAAAAAAAATTTATTTGAAGTTTGAGCTTGGTAATGGAATTATTGTAGTCACCCAATTTCACATCAAATAGCGAAGATTAATGTCTCACGTTGTACAAAAGATAAATGGTCTCATTCTATATTTTCTCTTTAATACGTGTATCATAATAATATGCGACGTATTAACGGCCCTCCGAAGTCAATCTTTTTTACTCCACCTTGACAGATCTATTTCTTCATAATACAAGATATCAATCCTCAACACATTAATCATATGAATATATAGATATGTTTTTTATAAACAAATTACAAATGACAATAATATAAACTAAATCATAAATACCTAAACCATACCTAAACTTTTAATAAAGTACATATACTTTATCAACCATTCCCATAAATACTGATTGCAATATATATTTTCTACATTAACCTGATGTACAATATACATTTTTCTTTCACAAATTTGAAATCGGGTCGAGGATGTATTATTATTTGGGTGCAGAGTTCAAAATAAATTTTGTTGAATCTTACTATATATTTTCATCTAGTAGATTTCACTTCCTTAATGTAAAAAATAAAAAATAAACGGTCTCATAGTTCACAATCCCTTTATATAATAAGTTTTAATTTTGTATACATTATTTCTCTATATTTTTTAGGTTAGAGAGATGGAGTATGATTATAGAGAGGCTGAGAGGGAAGAAAAAATGATAGGCTTAGAGAGAGGATCTATGAGAGAGAATTTCGTAGGGAGATTTCAGTAAAGAAGTGGAGAGATGAGAGAGAGAACACAATCTAAATCATTTCTTTTCTTTTAACATAATCCAAATCATTTTGTCATTCGGTAAAAGTCGACTATTTGTTTTTGTCTACCAAAAATCAGAATCATTGAGTCAAATAGTATAACACAGGTACCTTATCATTTGTTTTCAATAGACAAAGGGCCATTATTTGGTAATTTTTGGGGAGGTTTGTCAAAACACACAGGCCTGGGCCAGGCCGGGCCCCGGCCCTAGCCCAGCTCTAGTTCCCATAGGGAGGGTCAAAGCCTGGCTTGGCCTTGACCAAGTGAAGAAGGCCCTAGCCCAAGCGCATCCTGAAAAAAGGCCCTGGCCCAAGCCCAAGCCCAAGCCCAAGCCCACCCTAGTCTTATTAAGGCTAGGCTAAATAAAATCAGAAAGAAAAAAAAGGGTCGGTCAATGCCAAAGCAAGGTGGGCCAAACTTGCTCGGGCCCAGCAGGGACATACCCATGGCCGGTGGTTGCCTGGCCTTGGTCCACATTTCGTGGCTAATGCCCTAGGTCTTTTTTACTAACTGTGGAGCTGACCGCCCATTGCCACACTTTCATGATTGTTTAATATTTTATCTATTTTTTATATTTAATTTTAAAATACCCCATCAAAATACACATAATAGTTAAATTGATGAAAAGTTAAGTGTATTTTCATAAACTTTTTTTTTTTTTGGGTAAATTAATTTTCATAAACTTACCTAATTATTTCGTTATGGTTATTCATTACATGGCAGTTTCCACCTGTTTAGTATCTATCCTCTGTTTAACAAACGCCATGGTGTTGGTTTAATTATAAACTGTAACTTTCGAATGGAAAGTGGCTCAAGAGTTGGGAAGGGCTATCACATTGTGTTTTTTATTTTCACTGCTAACACCATCTTACTAATACTTTTAAAAAAAAACCAACTCTTAATTTACTTTAAAAAAGGGGTAATAACCATTAATCGTCTTAGTTTTACAAATCTAGTGTACGGTTAACAAAATTTATTTGGTTAAGATTTGAGGGTATCGCTATTAAGTCTCGTTTTTTTAATAAGATGTAGCTATTTTTTTGGAGCGGTAATGGATAAGGTAGAGTGGGGTCGGGTTCGGCTGAACCCTGATCCAGATCCAAAAGTTATTATGGGATATGGACCTAGACCCGGACCCATGGGACCCAACTCAAAAATCAAAATATCTTTATGTATTGAAATATTTTTAAATATATTTTATAAATTTATTAAATATATACATGTATTATTTAAATATTATAATCAAAACATATTGTTATATTTAAATATTATTAAAATATGAATAATATTTGGCTCGGGTTTCTATGTACCCAGATCTAAACTCCAATACTGTTTGGGTCCAAGATTTGGACATGGACCCAATCTGCCAGGTTCAATTTTTTGATCCATATCCGGACTCGGATCGAGCCCACATCCATTACTACCCCTAGCCATTTTTATGATAGTGCACAAGCTGGATTCGTTCAGGCAAGATGTTTACAAGGAACCTCCATGAGCTTGATCAAATCAGTTAGCTTCCGTATGTGTCACAAAATTTGAGATTTTTTTTTTAAAATTTTGGGTCTAGTCAATGACATTTGTACAACTATCGAGTTAAAATCACACAGTAACAATGATTATGTCCTCTTTGTATAAAAAATAAATAATTTTTTTATATGCTTTTCCATTTGGTATTTAGACTTGGACAAAAACTTGTAACTGCCGTTATGTGCTATGCCCATTGGGTGTAGCCGGAAGAGATAAATTTCTACCAAAAATTGACTTAAATCAATAATGTGTGTCATTTTCTTAAAGACATTTATGTGCATGAGCCCATTTGGGCAACGAATAATCGAAATTTCGTCAGAATGCACCAAAACTTTGACACATGGTATTATTGTAAGGTGGTCGAAGATCACGTCATACATGTTCGAAAAAGAAAAAAGGGATTGTCATACATGTTCGAAAAAGAAAAAAGGGATTGTATATTACGGGACCATTTATCTTTAGTATTAGGTTTTTAACAAAGTAGATCCTCACGTCAAATCCTTGTCTATAAAGCACTTTTAGTAGCAGGAATTTTATGATGGCTTTAAAATCAAATTTCAATGCGGACAATGAAATTCATAACTCAACAAATTTATGGACCTTGTGGATCTATGAATACTTAATTTTAAAGCGAAATGGACGATCTCGATAATTTGTTACAATATATATTATTTTTAGAGCTTGAAATCATTTTTTTTTTCACAACCATAATACCCAAGCTAAGATGATTGATGTAAAAGCTTTATGTTGCTTGAATTGTAACTTTCGATAAATTATAAGGCGATACTTGACTTGATAGAGATGTAGCCCTATCAAACTAGTTTTTTTATTTTTATTTTAAGGAGATCACAACTGTTACTAGCCATTAAATGTCAAATTGAATGACTTGGGATGTGTCCCAAAATTCTTTTTTTTTTTTATCGTTGAGTTATTCAACGACACACTCAAAACTACCTGATTTGAAATGTGACCGACGCATATTATGTGATATACTTGTATTAAAAACAAACGGTCTCTTATATATTTCTCCAAAAAAAAAAAAAGTAAAGTCATGTTTATCGTATATTCGAGAAACTATTTTGAAGATATTTTCGAGCTGATGACAAACATTAAAAAAGATTCTGAGTAAATATTTTGAAGATATTCTCAAAACTTTTTGTATGATCCCTCCTTTTCCCTCTTTAATGTAAAGTTCAGCATTCCAAGGACATGCACCTAGAAACTACATTTTATTATATAATTAACATACATGAGTCACATCAGACGTATAATGATATAAGACAGGAAAATCCGACTGTACAAGCTTCTTACAATACAGGAAAGTTGAGTAAGTGATGGAGTTGAAGGGTTCAGTAAATTAAAGCAGAGGAGCTCATCAATTACTCAATTTGAAATCAATTGGAAGTGTTCAACTTTAGGAATGTTTGTTAGGAGAGCCACACAGATGTTAGAAGGTCAAATAAGGGTGTGTGACAAGTGCATGGAAAGGTATCAGTCATACGTCAAAAGGACACTCAACATTTTGGTCAAAAACTGAGGGCACACCTTTGTAGACCAAGGTACGCAATAGACTTCCTTCTAATGTGAAGTCAGCCATGGGTGGCAGTGGGTCGGGTCGATGTCTGCCACTCGGCGTGGCCCACATGGCCAAATCAGATGGCTTAGATTGGCT